GAAGCTACTAGGGGCTCCTGGCCTTACTGCTAGTAACAAGAAGCTACAAGTAGTTCCCGGGCGGCAGTTTCATACAAGTACTGCCGGCGGCGGAAGTTTCATACAAGAACAAAGTGACCTATAGGAGTGTCCACGTTCTCTCCAACATGCGCGTCCTCCAGTCAAACGCACGCGCTCCGGACTTGTGCCCCCTGCAGGATCAGCAGCTCACAACAGCGTACTGGGTTGTATCTTTGCCACGACAAGAGGGGTGTATGACGAGTGGTGTATGATGAGTGGTGTATTGACCAGCAGTTGAATGTCCTGTCCTGCATAAATGCAACCAAATACTATCAGTATGAACTGTGCCAAACCTGCACGCCGCGAGAGATGACTCAGCCGCGAGAGATGGCTATAGCGAGAGCTGACTCAGCAGCGAGAGAGAAATGAGCAGCGAGAGATGACTCAGTCGCGAGAGATGACTCACAGCAGCGAGAGCTGACTCAGCAGCGAGAGATGACTCCTCCGCGTACTACACTTGTACTACAAAGTGGCCAGTTCTCAGCTTCCAGCTCCACAGGTTGTTCCGCGTGCTAAAGTTGTACTAGAAAGTCGCCAGTCAGTTCTCATCTTCCAGCTCCCCAGATGCTCCGCGTACTGCAGTTGTACTACACAGTCGCCAGTTCTGAGCTTCCAGCTGCACAGATTGCTCCGCGTACTAAAGTTGTACATTGTACTACAAAGTCGCCAGTTCTCAGCTTCCAGCTCTACAGATTGCTCCGCGTACTAAAGTTGTACTTGAAAGTCGCCAGTTCTCAGCTTCCAGCTCTACAGATTGCTCCCCGTACTAAAGTTGTACTAGAAAGTTGCCAGCTCTCAGCTTCCAGCTCTACAGATTGCTCCGCGTACTAAAGTTGTACTAGAAAGTCGCCAGTTCTGAGCTTCCAGCTCTACAGATTGCTCCGCGTACTAAAGTTGTACTAGAAAGTCGCCAGTTCTCAGCTTCCAGCTCTACAGATTGCTCCGCGTACTAAAGTTGTACTAGAAAGTCGCCAGTTCTCAGCTTCCAGCTCCACAGATACTCCGCGTACTAAAGTTGTACTACAAAGTCGCCAGTTCTCATCGTCCAGCTCGCCAGATACTCCGCGTACTAAAGTTGTACTACAAAGTCGCCAGTTCTCAGCTTCCAGCTCACAGATTGCTCCGCGTACTAAAGTTGTACTACAAAGTCGCCAGTTCTCAGCTTCCAGCTCCCCAGATGCTGTGCCTGCCACGAAATCTGCCCATGGAGGTTCACAAACTGCTGCGCCTGCCACGAAATCTGCACCTCGACGCTCACAAAGTGCTGTGCCTGCGAAGAAATCTGCGCATGGAGAATCACAAAGTGCTGCACCTTCCACGAAATCTGCACATGGAGGTTCACCAAGTGCTGCACCTGCCACGAAATCTGCACCTGGAGGTTCACAAAGTGTTGTGCCTGCCACGAAATCTGCACATGGAGGTTCACAAAGTGCTGCACCTGCGACGAAATCTGCACATGGAGGTGCAAAGTGCTGTGCCTGCCACGAAATCTGCACATGGAGGTTCACAAAGTGCTGCACCTGCCACGACATCTGCACATGGAGGTTCACAAAGTGCTGCACCTGCCGCGAAATCTGCACATGGAGGTACACAAAGTGCTGCACCTGCCACGAAATCTGCGCATGGAGGTTCACAAAGTGCTGTGCCTGCCAGGAAATCTGCACATGGAGGTACACAAAGTGCTGCGCCTGCCACGAAATCTGCACATGGAGGTTCACAAAGTGCTGCACCTGCCACGACATCTGCACATGGAGGTTCACAAAGTGCTGCACCTGCCGCGAAATCTGCACATGGAGGTACACAAAGTGCTGCACCTGCCACGAAATCTGCACATGGAGGTTCACAAAGTGCTGTGCCTGCCACGAAATCTGCACATGGAGGTTCACAAAGTGCTGCACCTGCCACGAAATCTTCACTTCAAGAAACAAGTGAAAACTCTAATCCCAATGGACGGACGATTCCGAGAATGATCCGAGACCGTCTCGCACCCGTCGTTCCGCAGACCTTGACTTGCCAGCTTCGGAGCCACCGGTTCCATTGAAAAATACAGCATTTTGTGCGTTCGCTATCTCTCCACTACGCATTTTGTATTGCGCCTGCCACGACATCTGCGCATGGAGGTGCACAAAGTGCTGCGCCTGCCACGAAATCTGCACATGGAGGTTCACAAAGTGCTGTGCCTGCCAGGAAATCTGCACATGGAGGTACACAAAGTGCTGCACCTGCCACGAAATCTGCACCTGGAGCTGGAGTTGCCTCAAGCTTCACCTTTTGGAACCAGAGCTGGTGTATGAGCCGTGTATGATGAGTGGTGTGTGATCAGTCGTGTATGATGAGTGGTGTATGATGAGTAGTGTATGATGAGTGGTGTATGAGGAGTGGTGTATGATGAGTGGTGTATGATGAGTGGTGTATGATGAGTG